ACTTGAACAGCTGTCTCACATGCACTGGCAGGTAGCAAAAGGGACAACAGATTACAAAGCAATTGAAAAGTAATCCTCGTGTTGCCAACTTTTTTTTTTTTACAATAGTAACTGAAATTTTAAATCTTTCAAAATAGCACTGCATAGTAAATCAAACATTTTATTTTTTAAAAGTTGATACCTAAAAAAACCCAACAAATGCCTTCAAAATATTTTCCATCTGTAAACATCATCATCTCTGTACCTTTGTAAGCTTGGACTATCTATCCTTAAGAGTTCTAAACTTTTTTGCTATCTCATATATTGAAGCAGGTATTTCTATTACATGTTGTTTTTAAAAGCACAGGAATTTTTTGTCCTTAAACAACTTTTTGGTTTTGTTGCACTCTCTTCCCAAGAAGTCACATGCAGTATTGGAGAGATTAGAATAACAAATTGAGGAAACAGTCTGAGGCTTATTTTACTGGTTTATGGTTTTATTCCCCAGAATATTGCCTTTTGTACCCTGCGAGTCTCCTGAATATAATAACCACAGTGAAATCGGGTATACCTGAAAGCAGAAAGACCTGGTTTTCCACGGAGGGTGCATTTCCTTCATCACTGCTCCACACCTACCTTTCCTATATCCACCCCAGTTGATGTGGTGATGCTCTGTGAAATGAAATTGCCTCATAAGCAAAATGAGATGTTTCTGTGAGGGCCTTTAGCAAGATACCTTATTGGGAAAATCACCCTCAGGTTACTGCTGGCATGAGAGAAGGATGGATGTACCCTGTTTCCAAGATGCCAAGAGATCTTTGAGCTGTGGTCATCCCATAAAGTTGCCAAGCTGCAGAGGTTGTGTGCCTTTGGAAGCCATCATGTCTGCTTTCCCAGAATGTTTTGCTTGACTAGGAGATACAAATGTGTTGCTTATCCAAGGATTGTGCAGTTGAACCCCATTTATCTTTTTCTGTTTTTTTTTAATTAATTATTTTTTAAGGAATACAAATTTCATAAGTACAACTTTAGGAATATAGTGATTCTTCCCACCATACCCGCCCTCCCACCCACACTCCCATCCCTCCTCCTCTTCTCTCTCCCCTTGCCAGTCCCATTCTCCATTAAGATTCATTTTCAATTAACTTTGTACACAGAAGACCAACTCTATACTAAGTAAGGATTTCAACAATTTACACACACACACACACACAAAACAAGAACTAGTTTTACAGTTAACTCTCATAATACAACTCCTTGAGCACAGAGGTACTGCATGGGAAGTTAATGCACAGACTCCTGTTGTTAATTTAACGACTAACACTCTTATATATGATGTTAATTACCACCCAAGGCTCTTGATATGAGCTGCCAAGGCTGTGGAAGCCTTTTGAATTCACAATCTCTGTCAGTATTTAGACAAGGCCATAAGCAAAGTGGAAGTTCTCTCCTCCCTTCAGAGAAAGGTACATCCTTCTTTGATGGCCACTTCTTTCCACTGGGGTCTCTCCCACAGAGATCCCTTATGTAAAACATTTTTTTTGCCACAGGGTCTTGCCTTTCCATGCCTGAAATGCTCTCACAGGCTTTTCAGCCAGACCAGGAAGCCTGAAGGGCTGATTCTGAGGTCAGAGTGTTACTTAAAGTGATTGTCATCCTATGAGTCTGCTATGTGGACTGCTTTCCATGTTGGAACATTCTCTCCTTTTTAATTCTATTATTTTTACCAGGCACTTTATCCTATTTACATGATCACTTTAAGACTTAATCCTATCTATATGCTCACTTTAACATTTAAGATGGCATTTTTATCACCCAGCTAAGTGGGATTTGGGTCCCATGGAAAGTTTTTAAACTGTACCCTTAGGAGTAAGTCTGTAGTAATGTATGCAGAACTATACAGCTTTACAGTTAAAAACTTCCTCCTCTCTGTCTTATTCCCACTCTTATTTTTAATGAGAACCATCCTCAACAGACTTTATACACATATGATTAACTCTATATTAAGAAAAGAGTTCAGCAAATAGTATGAAGAAAAAAAGCCAAAATAAACAAAAAAAAAAAACCCAAACTGTTCCTTGACAGTCAACACAAGGGCAGCTCAAGTCTGTTTTAATTGCTGTATTTACCTGTATGCATAGGTAATGTTTTTTGAAAGTGAAAACAAACACAAAATACAATTGCCTTCTCTTATGGCAACCTGGGGGAGTAGAGAAATTAATCTTTGCAGTTTCTTGCCTACTGTTAGGATTCCCTCCTCTGTCCTTCCACTTCCTTGCCATCCAGACAGCTCAGTGGGCCCACTGAGGCTTTACATTTCCTTCCATCCGCTGCTGCCCTTTGTGCTGTCTGAAGTGAAGTATATGTGCATGAAGGGTTCTATCCTGTCTTTGTAATGCAGCTCTTACTCCTTCAGATAAAATAGTTGAAGGTCAGCTGAAGTCTTGGGGAAGTACTAACTGAAGGTCAAGGACTGACTATTGTAGACTTGTGAACATTTGTGCAAGGGAGCATTTTGCTGTTGCTCAGTGTCTCCCTCAGCAGGGTGTCTAGTCACATGAGAAGCACCCAAAGTAAATCTTACCAAAACTACTAATTATAAAGATGACCTCCTCTGGAACACAGGAAGCAAGCAGTTTTTCAGGCCTATGAATGAACGAAGGCTTTCCAAATAAATCTATTTGCACAATGTCTTAGATCATATTACATCTCGTGAACTGAGCTGTAAGAATGTGAACACATTCCGAAGGAAATGGGAGAAATAAAGAATTTGCCTGTTCAGCTGTATACTTCTAGAACTTCATATGTTTATTGGACACTGGATACTGAAGAGATAATTTTTAGGTTAATGTTTAGCAGGCTTGTGATGATTTTTCATAAACCTCCATTTTGTTTTGACAGTAAGAGGAAAAAATTTTATTGGTGCTTCTCACAGTTGTCTGTGATTAAGCATTGCTTTGTGCTTTTTAAGACAATTCTTTTAACATGGTATAAGTTAGACATTGTGTGCACAGTGTTAAGGGCCTAAGAAATGAGTTGGAGTGAGAAAAGAGGGGCTGCCTGCCCCGCCCCAGGAATATTGAGAGATAAGTGTCACTTTGCAGACACTTCACATGTTAGCACTAATCCTCTTACTCCTAGTTAATTTGCTTTTATTGACTCTAAACTTAGGTACTTTGTTAACCTTTGGCTACAATAATAGTTCTCCAGCTTAAAAAAATGGACTTTTATTCCTGCAAGCCATAGGACACTTCAGATGGTTAGAGAATAAGGCTGTTTAAACTGTTAAGTTATTCCCTTGATTGGTCATTATTATGTGCTTTTGGAATCTTTACATTCTAGGAAATGTAGAAGAGTGATGAGTGGGTCTTTCTATTTATGTATTCTCCAGTTCTTAGTGCTTAATAAATGTTGAATATTCTATGGCTACGTTGGGTTCCCAGAGCACATAGTATTATTAAGTTTAAGGCCTATGGGAAGAATTTGTACAGTATTTAATGAATACTAAGGTTTTGTCTGGATTGGAGTTAATAAAAAATCCATTTCTCTTTGTGTACTTTACATACCCCACGATTTAAAAATAGGCTGGTCTTGGCTGCACTTGGTTTTCATGACCTTTTCCCCATTATTATATTTGAGAATGATGCAAAGTGGGACATTTGCTAGTATGTTAACTTGATTATAATTTTCATACATCACAAAAATATTTGCTATTTGTCCATCAGCCAGGCTAAATCAAAGCTCTTTTAAGTCTCAAATTTTCTTTGTCTGCCTCTTAACGCTCCTCACTGTGGGCTGAGCTGGGGCATTGATTAGCACGCAGCACTGGGGCCCAGAGCGGCTTTCCCACCATCTGCAGTGTGAAGCGATCGACTTGATGCTGCACTCGTCTTATGTAATTGCAACAACCACGTACTTAGCAAGAGAGTTTGCAGCCTGTAAGTAGGTTTATTCCATCTTACGATAAACTTTGGCTAATATGAGAGAGGCATCTGGAAGATAAGGTTATGGAGACTGGATGAAAAGGAAAAGAGGGGGTATATTGTGGTGCTCTGCCCTGTTTTGAGGTGTACAAGACATCTAAGGGATTTTCCTTTATGCCTGCACTAATTCCTGTTACTTTAAAGAAATTTTTTAGAAATACTTGAGAATTTCCCTTTTAAAATACTTTTAATTTAGCCGGCGCCGTGGCTCAATAGGCTAATCCTCCACCTTGCGGCGCCGGCACACCGGGTTCTAGTCCCGGTTGGAGCGCCGGATTCTGTCCCGGTTGCCCCTCTTCCAGGCCAGCTCTCTGCTATGGCCAGGGAGTGCAGTGGAGGATGGCCCAGGTGCTTGGGCCCTGCACCCCATGGGAGACCAGGAAAAGCACCTGGCTCCTGGCTCCTGCCAGGATCAGCGCGGTGCGCCGGCTGCAGCGGCGGCCATTGGAGGGTGAACCAACGGCAAAGGAAGACCTTTCTCTCTCTGTCTCTCTCTCTCACTGTCCACTCTGCCTGTCAAAAAAAAAAAAATACTTTTAATTTTTGAATATTTATTTGAAAGGTAGAGAGAGAGAGAAAGAAAGTAAGAAAAGAAGGAAGAAACAGAGATAGAGATCTTCCATCCATTGGTTCACTCCCTAAATGTCTACAACAGCCAAGTCTGGGCCAGGCTGAAGTCAAGAGATGGCAACTCCATTCATGTCTCTTACCTGGGTGACAGGGACCCAAGTACTTGAGCCACCACTGCTGCCTCTAAGGGTATGCATTAGCAGGAAATTGGAATCGGGAGTAAAACTGGGACTCCAACCCAGGCACATCAATATGGGAGGCAAATATCCCAAGTGGCATCTGAAAACGCCTGCTACCTAGTTACTCTGTTCCCTGATACTCTTCTCAAGAACCACATACTCAAAAACATACATATTTGGTAGTAAAATACCTGGCCTGCAGTTAAGCAATAATGATTTCTGTTTTTGGAAGAAGAGTGTAGTGTTTTGGATGTAGCTAGATCCCTCCCTCTCTGCTTTCTTTACACAGATGGAGAAACAGTGTTGAAAGGTGGCAACGTCCTTGAAATCAACAAAGAACTAAAGTTGCACCGAGCTCAACCAGAAGACTAGAAAGGCTTCCTGATCGGCACCCTCTTGCAGAGAAATGCCTCGGTGCAACTTTGTAAGTACTGACCTTCTGATTCCATCATTTGTGATTTTAAAAGAATGTTAAACTTGCGTTAAAAATGCATATGTTCCTTTAAAAATGCAGGCTTTTCGCAGCATTTGAATCTATCCATATGTTAGATTTTGGGCCAAATTAACCAGCCAATTTCAGATCTCTGTGTGGTTTTGTGGTTTGTTGTTGTTGTTTATTTTTGTTTTGGAAAGTCTAGGTATATATCCACTCAGACTTTGTGTCTAATCCGAGCCTGGGGAAACTGGCCTCAAACTGCTTGTCATCCACTGGTTCAGTGAAGGCTTCTCTCCGGGGGCTGAGCTCATTCATGTTCTCTGAGTAGCCGCCGTCGGTCCTACAGTGCTTCTGCCTGAACTGTACGCCCCCCATCTGCCCTTGAAGCTTGGCGCTGGCTTCCTTTTGCATGCTCTTGTGTTCCCAAGTCCCTGAGCTCCTAGAGGGCCCAGGCCAAGGTTCAGCCAGGGGACCCCACCAGGGATCTCTTCTCACCCCACCCACCTTTAGAAGGACATTTGACTAGGGAGCTCTCTGTGGGCTCTGATTTGTAGCCAGGGTAGGGAACTCCTTTTTTTTTTTTTTTAAAGATTTTTATTTATTTATTTGAAAGAGTTACACAGAGAGAGAAGGAGAGGCAGAAAGAGAGAGAGAGAGAGAGAGAGAGAGAGGAGAGAGAGAGAGAGAGATAGGTCTTCCATCTACTGGTTTACTCCCCAGTTGGCCGCAATGTCCAGAGCTGCACCGATCTGAAGCCAGGAGCTTCCTCCAGGTCTCCCACGCGGGTGCAGGGGCCCAAGCACTTGGGCCATCTTCTACTGCTTTCCCAAGCCATAGCAGAGAGCTGGATCAGAAGTGGAGCAGCCAGGACTCGAACCAGCACCCATATGGGATGCCGGCACTGCAGACAGTGGCTTTACACACTATGCCACGACGCTGGCCCCAGGGAACTCTTATAATGAATGAAGGTCACATCTCTTTGGGAAGAAACTCGGAAAGCAACCTAGGTAACACAAACCTCTACTCAAGATATAAGTTTGGGGCCAAAGGAGAATAGGAGAGGTTTTCACACACTCTGACAGTGTTCATTTGTGTGTTGCGTGCCCTGCTCTAAACCAGCATTGGCTGAGTTTCAGCTGTGCTACAGCACTGGGAGGAGGAGTTGATTGGCCTTATTTGAGAAATCAGACCATAAGTTTAACAGAGGTATTCAAGATATTTGCCCAAGACCACATAGCTAGCAAACAATAAAAGCTATGTGTTACCTCTACTTGTCTGTTTTCACCAAACCATACCAAGAAAATAAATCTCAAACTAGATGTTGGGCCTGATAGTTCCTTTCTTATTTCTATGTCAGTATAAATAATAACCACAAAAGTGTTTTCTGGGCATATGTTTTCCGTTTTGCGGAGTTTCTGTCTAATACTAACATGTTATATTTATTTTAAAAGACATTTTTTCACGGTCCCAACTATATGTCAGAGCCTCTTCGAGGTGCTAGGGATACAGCAGTGAAAATTGTTATTTTTATCAGGTTCTGAGAGAAAACTCGAAGCTCTATCTGGGCATATTTCATCATGTTTTTCCTTCGCCTCCAGGGCCTTGAAACATAGTATCAATATGGTATTCACTGCCTTCTTAGAACTACCTGCTCCTTGGAATATGCTGGTTGCTGGAGCTATTGGCGGGCCCTCTTGGCTCCATGGTCATCTCCCCAGTAGCATTTGGGTCATGTTAGGTTTGACTCAACTCACAGTACCTCCATCCTAGTCTGCAAAATACCCATGGCTACAATCATCACTTCGTTCAGTGTCCATTTATTTTGGGCTAGCTCCTTAGTATACTAATGGAACATTCTCCTCCACCTGCCTGTATGACATCATACTTCAGACATAGGACAACATTTTTTAATCTTTTTTTTTAACTTTTATTTAACAAATATAAATTTCCAAAGTACAGCTTATGGATTACAGTGGCTTCCCTCCCCCATAACTTCCCTCCCACCCGCAACCCTCCCCTTTCCCATTCCATTCGCATCAAGATTCATTTCCAATTCTCTTTATATACAGAAGATCAATTTAGTATATATTAAGTAAAGATTTCAACAGTTTGCACCCACACACAACATGAAATTTGACTTCATCACCAACACATCATATGTATGAATTCCCTGATTTTTCCGATGCGAAATTTTCCCATTGGGCTCACTGTGACTGTGATGAGGGAGGTGATGAGCTGTGTCTTGGGAAGGTGTGTGTGTGTGTGTGTGTGTGATGTTTTATTTACACACTCTGCCTTTCTCCTCAGTAACAAACATTCATTTCCATGGTAGTTATCTGTGTAATTGTCTAATGTGTTCTCCACTGAGTTCAAATTCCCTGATGGCAAAAGCTGCTGTCACATCACCTGGCATGTAGTGGCTGTCCAGTCAAGGCTTGTTTTTACGTGTAGTGTGAAGAGGACTCTGCTTGGGACCCTGGAACTTGGGCCCAATCCCATTTTTGCCTCAAGAGGGTATGTGACCTTGGGCCGATCGCTTCCTGTCTTTCGACCACAGTCTCCTCAACTGAGAAAGGAGGGTATGGCCAGGGAGATTTCTGAGGTTGCTGTGGGCTTTATGAGTCTCAGCTTGGGTCTGACTAAATGGGGGAAGAATTGCAGCCCAGTTAGTTGGATGCCACAACTTTGTTTCCAAACCCAAGCTGACTCTACTCGAGTGCCCTCCCTTGGGTTGGGAACGCCTGGCCCGTTGCTTTCCTGAGGAACCCATGCCAGATTCCCGAGTCACCTCCTCTGGGACGTCTGAGGGCAGTGTTTTTCAGACTTGTTCTGTAGCAGCTGAATTCCCTTCGAAGGAACAATGAACAAATTGCATTATATGTGGGCACGGTATTAGCTGCATGTAAGATGGAGGAATCCCAGAAGGTAGAATCCCACAGGGTTGTTCAGAATAATAGTTGGTCTGCTTGGAGAGGGAGTAGAGAGAGACCCATGGCCCTCCTTGCTTGGCCAGTTATGTTCTTAGTCTCAGCCACTCTTCCCCCCCACACCCCTGCGCCCTGCCCCATCTCCAGTGCACTGATTTCCCGGCTCGCTTCATAGAACTTTTCAAATCCTCTGCCCTGGCCAGGTAATAGGGATTTGGGTGGCACTGGTAACCACATTGGCATGTGACAGCTCCACTCTCAAAGCTGGGATCTGAAATTTAGCCCATCAACATCCTCCCCTGAACCCCTTTGTAACCCCTTAATTCCCTTCTGTGGCTCTTTTGTGCCTCACCCCCCCTGCCCTGTCACACACAGCCCACCACTTTCTGAGTGCTGCCAAGAAGATTGGAAACCTCTCAGTTTGCAAGCGGCCAGATCACGTGGTTTCTTCTCTAATCCAGGGGGAATCAAGTTGTTAAAGCAAACTTGAGCAAGAGAATTTGCAGCTCTAATTCTGGGGGAAAAAAATCGCAACTTATCAAATCACCTAAGATGAAATAGATAACCTGAATAGTCCTAGAACCATGAATAAAAGTGGATTCATAGTTAAAAACCTTCTGGAAAAAGAGCCTCAAGACCCAGACGGTTGGCATTGGTAAATTCTCACATTTAAGGGAAGAAATAGCATGAATTTCAGACAATATATTCCAGAAGATGAGGGAAAATATTTCAACTTATTTTATGAGGTCAGCATTACCTTGATACCAATCCTGATTGGTATCAAAGTATCAAGGACTTGGGCCATCTTCTACTGCTTTCCCAGGCCATAGCACAGAGCTAAATCTGAAGTGGAGCAGCCGGGACTCGAACCAGAGCCCATATGGGATGCCGGCACTGCAGGCGGTGGCTTTACCTGCTACACCACAGTGCCGGCCCCCTTCCTTTATTTCTGATGTAAGCATTTAGTGTTATAAATTTCCCTATAAGCATGATTTGAGCTGTATAATGAGCATTTTGAGATATTATATTTTCATTTTGTTCAGTTCAAAATTTTTTTTTTCACTTGAGGCTTTCTTGACCCGTGTGCTCATTAGAAGTATATTGTGTTCTTTCCAAGTATTTGGGCATTTTCCTTTTGTTTTCCTATTGTTCACTTCTAATTTAATTTCATCATGGCTAGAAAACATGTGTTATATTATGTTAATTATTCTAAATGTATTGAAAAGGTTTATACTTCATGTTTGGTGAAGTCTGTCTTGGTCAACATATCATATATACTTTAAAAGAATGCATATTCTGCTTTTGTTGGTTAGAATATTTTTATAGATACTACATTCAGTTGATTGGTGATGCCTTTCTGTTTATTCCATATTATTACTGAGAGGAGTTTGAAGCCTTCTGCTATAGCTGTGGATTTACCTATTTCTCCTTTGAGTTCTGTCACTTTTTGCTTCATGTATTTCGAATGCTATTACTGAGGACATAGCCATTTAGGATGGTCATGTCTTCTCAGCAAATTGGCCCTTTCCTTATTACGTGATTTCCTCCTATGTCTTTGACAACTGTCTGTTTTCAAATCTGCTTTGTGTCATAGACATACAGGCACTCCAACTTTCTTTTGCACAGTGTTTGCATGGTCATAACCTTTTCCTGTCCTGTGACTTTCAACCTGTCCGCCTATATGTTTAGCCCGAGTTTCTGTTAGACAACATGTAGTTGGTTCATTTTTAAAATTCATTATCATAGTGCCCACCTTTAATTCTTACATGTTTAGACTGCTCGAGTTTAATGTAATTGTTGATATGTTTAGATTTATGTCTTCTGTTTATTCCCTTTATAGTTGCTCCCTTGTTTATCATATTCTTTTTTTTGTTATTTTGAATATTTCATAGTGTTTTCTCTTAATCGAATCTCATGTGTATATCTATCAGACTCCATTACAACATATATATGCATATATATATATACACACACACATAAACATACTTCATAGACTTAGAATTGACATTTATCACTTTAGGTGTACTGAAAGAAACCTTACCACTGTGTATGTTCCTTTGT